CCTCACCTCGCCGTCGCCGGAGGACGCCGCCGGGCTAAGCCCGCGCGGCGGACGGCGGCGGCGGGGCTTCTCTCGGCCTGGCTGTGGGGTCTCGCGGTGGGGGAGGCTTGGCTCCTCTCTGCTGCGCTGCGTGGCTGCTCTGGCGCCGCCGTGGTCTGCCTGGGGGTCGAGTCGCGTCGGCTTCACGCGCTCCTTGACGATGCTCGGCTCCTGCCGTCTCAACGTGTTGCGTGCGCTGGAGGTGGCGGCCTGTGGATCTGGCCGGCTGCGGCTGGATCCGGCTCGTCTGCGTCGGTGGCTCGATGTGGAGGGCTTCAAGCGGTCGTCCGGCGGCTCGGCCTGGCGGATCTGGGGCGGGGTGGCAGCCCTCCCATCCGGCTCAGGTGATTTGCGGCGGCTGTGGGCGGCTCACCGCGGTGCAGCGGGTGTGGGTGCCAGATCTGACTGGGATTGGTCTGTTCTGGCTCGCCTGCGTTTGTCGGCGACGAGGAAGGAGGAGGCCATGCGCAGCGTTAGCGTGCTCGCTGCATAGGGGTGCGTGGACCAGTGGAGGTACTGCGTGGGAGTGGTGGCTGTGCTACTCCGGGTGAAAGCCTGGCCGGTGCTTGCCGGTCGGCAGCGACGGCGTCTGTGGGCATCGCTATCCTCCTTGGAGGCGTCGCCGAGGAGATCTGCGCATCCTCACCTTCCGGATCAAGATCTTCAGGTGAAAGCCAAGATTCTGTTGCAGGGTCGAGCGGCAGCGGCGTCTTCAGCGTCGTTTTCCCTCTTTAGGGCGCCGTCTTGAAGATATTGGTTCCTTTGGTGCTTCCGGCGGGCTGGACGTGCACAACATTGCGGTCGGTTGGTGTCCGTCCGGTGATTTAGGCGGTTTGGCATTGCGACTCGTGTGGCGACGACGATGGTGTCGAGCGAAGCTGGGTCGCGGCTTGTCCTTTTGATGTCGACGGTCCAGTGCGCTAATGGGTGCGCCTATGCTGGTTTCGTGCTATGACAAAAAAGTCGGAGCTGCGGTCGGCAACGCCATTGCGGCAACGATGACTCCATGAGGGTGGTTTTCAGCGGGCGGTGCTCTCCGGGTGTTGCGTTGGACTAGATCGGTGCGAGGCGTGCAACTTTCTCATGTGAAGCTCTTCAACAAAATCGGAGCTGTCAAGTCCTCGACGCTTCGGTCGATTGTTTGGCGTTTGTGGTCAGGTCGTCTGTGTGTGTCCCGTGGGGTTGTAATCTAGGTTTTCGCCCGGTTTTCCTTTAATTAACCGGACAACTCTCTTCTTCTTAATCAATGAAAATGGCAAATCTTTTGCCTCGATTCAAAAAAAAAGATACAACGAACCGAAGAGGCAAAAGTAAAGGCAACAAAGTACAACATATCAAAGAGCTCTGAAGACACCTATAGGGCACACGTAGAAGCGCTTCCTCTGAGAGTGCCACGCCACACCACATGTTGCAGTCGATCACAGCCATAAGAACCTGTTGACTAGTGGCTAGGCTGCCAATGATGGATCGAACCACCGACTCCCACAAGCTTGGCGATATAGGCTCACAACAAAAACTGGCCCCATGTCATCCTCTAAGGGAAGAGGGGGAATAAAGAGTCGCCAAAGAAGAACATGAAGGTTGAACCACCACTTCGATGCTCCAAAGGCAACATCCACAGATACATATGTTGGATGTGCAAATGGTGTCATAGGAACGAGACAAGGTATTGATACGTCTCCGTTGTATCTATAATTTTTTATTGTTCCATGTCAATATTATAAAACTTTTACATATTTTGGCAACTTTTTATATTATTTATTGGACTAACTTATTGACCCAGTGCCCAGTGTAAGTTTATGTTTTTTGTTTCACAGAAAATCCATATCAAACAAAGTCCAAATGCAATATGATTTTAAGGAGAATTATTTTAGAATATTTGTGATTTTTGGGAGTTGGAATCAAGAGAAGAGGGGCCTACAGTGACCACAACCCACCAGGGCGCACCCAGGTGTCTTATGCCCACCTCATACGTAAGTTGGAGCTCTACTTTGGGCGCAATGAAGCTTATATCCAGGGAAAATCGTGTTAAAAATTCAGCGCAATCGGAGTTACGAATCTTCCGGAATATAAGAAATGGTTTTCTGCCAGATTTTGGGAACGCGAAACAAAAGAGAACAAAGAGGGAGATCCAATCTCGGAGGGGCTCCTGCCCCTCCGCCGCCATGGAGGCCATAGACCAGAGGGGGAACCCTCCTCCCATCTAGGTGGGAGGCCAAGGAAGAAGAAGAAGGAGGGGGCTCTCTCTCCCTCTCTCCCGGTGGTGCCGGAGTGCGGTCGTGGCTAGGATGATGATGGCGATCTACATCAAAAATCTTGCTACCGTCAACACCAATTCTCTCCCCCTCTATGCAGCGGTGTAATACCCCTTATCTCCGCTGTAATCTCCTTGTCCTATTCGGACCAGGGGG